CCAGGATGTTGGACGAGCTTGCATACATTGCACATCTGTTTTTTCCTTAAAGAACAATAGTTCAGATAACAGCACTTAGCTTGTGAGGTACTGTTTGTCATTGGTCAAATTCTGGCCCACCTAAGCCAGTGAGCAGTCCTAGAGCCACCTGTATGCTGACCAGGATACACGCAGCAGAGCAGGCGTCCTGCTTCTGGCCAGGAGAGCTAAGGCCCAGCTCTCTTCAGAGGTGGTTATTTGTAACTCCATGGTGAACTGTGACGGGACCCCTTTATGCAAGGGAAAGGAGGCCGTCCTCCGTGTTCTTCTTTCCCCTAAAGCTGGCAGCAATTACAGTAGCCGTTTTCTCAGCCTTTTGACACAAGGATTGGACTGACTGTCCCACTTTTAGACAGGAAGGGAAAAGTAAGTTAGAACAACTTTCCAAATAAAAAGTTTTGGACAACTCTGTGGTAATTCACAAGCTATTCTGTGCTATGAGCAGTTGTAAAGGCATCTTGAGTTTTGTTGCACCTAACCTGCAGAAGGTCTCTTCCTGGCAATGGCTCCTGGGGACAGACCCACCTGAAGCATGCTCTTTTCAGAACTATTTGGAATCCAAAAGACTTCATTTTGTTTATTGAAAGGGATGGCACTGGGAGAGTAAAAACTCAGATCATGAGGTGTTTGCGGGAATCTTTGATCCCCAAATCCTTCTGCTCCAAACACAGTGGTAATGTAGCAAGAACAATGTTCTCTTCATAGGGGACTCCTGAACATTGGAGTGTGATTCTGACTCTTGTATATCTCTGTGGTAAAACATCATGGACTTAACACTGAGCAGCACAGTGAAGTTTACTGTCTTGCCATTGCTGTCAGTGGATTTTGGATTAGGCCTTGTATGTGCAGGCAGCTCATCCTGAACATGGAAAAGGCAACAAAATTTTCTTAAAATGTTCTAAAAGTAGGATAAAATAAAGGATAACTGTAACAGTATATGTATCTGTAAAGGCAAATGTAGTCAGCATGAAACCACAGGAAGCTTATTAAAATTTTGCCATATGTTGGTAATGAAAACATATTGGGCCAATGTGAATATGCAAATACAGCCAGTGGAGTAGAGTTAATCCCTCAAAAATTTATTCAATATTTTAAAAATAATTTTTGGCTCTATGTTATGACCTTTTGTTTGCTTTCCTCAAATATTTTAGCAAACAGGTTTACTCATAAAAGTATTCATATTGTAACCAGATATGCAAGAATAGTTGCTAAAAACTGATCTTAAGTAAATAATAACAAAAAATGCTTATGTTTGGACTAGAAACCAAGCTGCAAAAGTTGTGCTAAATCTGATCAGAGTGCGAGCAATACCAGGTGGTGAATACCTTAAATGACAACTAGCAAAAGTATCTTGAATTTTGAATGTCATTTACCTGCACTTGATCTTAGATGGTTGGTTGTTAACAACTATTGGTATTATCAAAGTACCAAACAATTTGGATATAATAGAAAGAAATAAGCTATTTCATTCTTACCATATAGAGTGAATATATGGGAAATAATTATTTCCTAGGAATTACTTAGCTTTGGTCAAAATTAAAGATGACAAATATCATAGCTTCTTAACAAAGTATAGGAAATACTAAAATCTCAGTGTAATGCAAAGATGAATGATTTTCAGCTGTTAAAAAAAAAAAAAAAAAAAAAAAAAAAAAAAAAGGAGGCCAAAAATTAAAAGGATCCCACACACGAGGAAGAAGAAAAGCAGGTCCTCGTCTCCAAGGAGCAGACTGGCCTCGTTCCTCGGCTTTTTGTTTTTGAGGGCTTCTTCTTAGACCTGCTTGAGCTAAAATAAAGGAGACGAAAGAAAGGGGGAAAGCAGGCGAGGGAGCGGTGGGCGCCTCCGCCGCGCTGGGGAGGCGAGGGCATCGCCGGGGTCGGGGCCGGGGCCGGGGCCGGGGCCGGGTCTCGGTCTCCGCGTGTTGCCGCTGGCTACGGGAAGCAGCCGGCAGCGGCGAGAGCTGAGCACAAAACGAGCAGGGCCCGGTTTAGGCTTGGCAATCTTAATACGATACCAAAGAGGAGTCAGAATGAATAACAGCAGCCAGCAGCACGGTACAGGCTTATCGCTGCCCATATGGGAACATGTCTGCCAGCAAGCACCTCCGTTGTGTGGCAAGGTGAAGATTTCTCTGTTAAAGCATTGCCAAATCGTGAGAAGCACACCTAGCAACACAAGCCAGGCCTCCCTCATCCCTCCTGCTGAACCCAGGCTGAAACCAAAATAAATACATTTTGACTTGCATGGCGTTGACCCAGTGCGTGAAACACAAGTGAGAAGGAGCTGGCACAGCAGCCCAGTGCCTGTTTGTGGCCAGCAAATAAGCAATGATGGCAAATGTAAAGGGCGAGCCAAGTGTGGTGGTGGCTGGAGAGCAGGTTATGGCCCTGAACAGCCATGAGCCAATTTGTTTTTCAACTACTACATGGCAAGAAACGAGATACACAGCTTGGCACAAAAGGACCCAGAAAAATGTGATTTATGCCTCTCTTCTGATAGAGCCATTATAAATATTCATAATATTTGCCTTTTTTTGGGGGGGGGGGGGGGGGGCGGGGGGGGGGAAGGGGAAGGAGAGGAGGTGGGGAAGCAGTTGTTTTGTCATTTAGTTTGGAATAGAAAGCTAACTTCCAGGCGGTTCTCTGCACGGGTGAAATTGGAGTCAGGTTACGGCTCTGCTGCAGAATGTGCTTTTGTTACGGAAAAACTGCTACGCTCTGAAGTTTTCATGAGGGTCACGATGTGGCTGGAGTATAAACTGAAAAGAAATGCCTAAGTAATTGATGGTGGATTTCAGTGAATGAGCTTAAGAAAATGCAACATGGGTTTCAACATCAATGGCAAACCATTGCCATGGCAATGGGTAGCTTTGCCAGAAACAAACAAACAAACAGCCTTCTACTCTTTCAGCAAAAAGTTAGAGAATTTGTGGTTCTCACCTCACTGAAGCTTGTGCTTTTGTGCCACAGGCCATCTCAGAGGGGCAAAGATGGGGTGCTCTGCTCAGACAAGTACTACAAATCCAGAGTCCTTTTCAGTAGTACACTTATAACATTTCCAGAGCAAGAAGTAACCTTTGTACCCATGGGAAAGCAACAACATTTGCTTTATAATGATTTCAGTGCTTTAGTTGCTATAATTCTGTACCATTTTCTAATGAAAGGTGGAAGGGCTCAGTATTAAAGAAGCTTTGTGTCACTAGTTGAAATTGATCCTGCTTCAGGAGAGACTTGCTGATATAGAAGATTTTCTTATAAGTAGAAACCTTGGTCTCACACTTGAATTAATAAAGAGCTTATTTAAAAACAAAACCAAAAAAAAAAAAAAAAGCAACGAACAAACAAACAAACAAACAAACAAAAAAAAACAGAGAGAGAGAAAATGTGAGCTGTGCAAGCTGCCCTTCCTTCTGCAGGCGTGGGCACATGGAGGGGAGAGAGCTAATGCACAAGTGCTGGAGCCATCTCCTAGCAGGAGCCTTTGGAAGTGGCCCTCTGAAAGCTTTCTGCACATTTTTGAGGATCCTAGGCCCCTCTGAGGATGCAGTCCATCTGTCTGCTGTGAATTTTGTGGGTCTAGAGCCTCCTCTCAACTGTGGGGAGACAGATTTCAGCCACAGCCAGGCAAGGAGTCAGTAACATTGGGGTTCTGCCATCCTTGTTTCTTGCTGCTTTGCAGGCTATTTTCTCTGTTTGCCACTTCACACCCATAGGACCTGAAATTCCTGCTGGGCATCTACGTCTGGGTATGTGCTAGGGACTTCCTGGTATCATTTCTGAGGAAGACAGACATGGCCCGTTGTTGGTCTTGTGATTTCATGGCCTGCAGAGCAGGATCAAAGGGTCAGAACTGGGTGGCGACATGGAATCAGAAAAGTAACCAGCAGCAATGAGAGAACTGTCTCAAAGGTATCTGCTGGTGAGGAGACAAAGCCTACGTGAAGAAGTCAACAGAGAGCACGAATGTATCAAACTTTCTGTACCATCTGGCTGACCCTCGTAGACTTTGTGATCTGTGTTATTCAAACAGTGCTGACAGTCTGACAGGGAACGTGTCAAACCTATGTTTGCAAAATTCTTCTAATAGCAATCCAATATCAGATAAAATAAAAACATCCCATCTGGATTTCCAGCTATTTGGCATTCATTAGTTTTGTCTTACCATTCTTTATATAATAACACTTAGGTGCTGCTTTTCTTAAGCTCCCCATGAAATATTTAATATAGTTTACTGTAAAGTCTTCAGGATGAGGGCTGTTTCTTGCAGAGTATTTGTGCTGCACCTAGCACTAATTTAAATTGCAGCCTCCAGGCAGTATTGTAAGTACTCATTGTTTCCATCAAGATTTGTCCCTATCCTGTCACTTTTCAAAGAAAGTCCATTCTTAACTTTGGCTTTAACATAGCCAGTGTTTAAAAAACATTTATTTTTTCATCTAAAATGATCAAACCAGTCTCCAGCAAATAAATTTTGAACCTGAACTTTTAATTAATATTGTCCATTTTGAACAGTGCCTGGTCTGCTTCATTTAACCAGCTCAGAAAATATGTAACAAATAAGAACGTTTTTTTTCCCCCCCCCTTTTTTTTTTTTTTCCATTTTCTTAGAAATGCAGTTGGGGTCTATTTTGCATGAGAAAATATTTTGTTTAGGAATGACAGTTGTAGGCATTCTCTCATACATTGTAATATTTTCCATGTGTGGCAGCTTGTTTTTCAGTGGTACAACTATGTGCAATAAAGCTAAGGATAAAAATTAATCTAACAGCTTTTGCAGCAATGCTTTTGATGGTTTCCCTTGATTTCATTTTTCAGGGGATACTGCCCTCAGTTCTGCTGCTTGCAATATGCGAAGCATAATTCTCAAAGGTTCCTGAGGTTGTAGGGATCCAGTAAAAGATGACAGATCCCCCCCCCCGCACACACATACTCCACCCCACACCCACTCACCCACCCACCAGCAAAACATAATGCTGTACTATTTTTGGCAACAGGGAAAGGGCCTCCCTGTGAAAACAGAAAGCAGTGTATTTCTCAGTTACATCACTTTGCAATCTAATGCTGTGTTGTGCTCAGTGTTTTTGTGGTGATGCAAGTCTTTCTTTTTTTTTTTTTTCTTCCTTCAGCCGGTTGGATTTTCCCCATCTTACAGCACCTCGCAGGTCTCTTCTCTCAGCAGTACGTTGCCTGAGTGAGTGGAAATACACAGATCAGCTGCAGGTTTCTGTCTACAGAAACAGAGTGAAAGAGAAAGAAAAGGGTTGGGAAAGCAGAGACAAATATTGACCTGGACTTATAGAAAGACATCCAATGGCTGAATAAAGAACCCCTGTTCATGTTTTGGGATATTCTTTCAACTGGCTGGAACGAGAGCGGATCAAAAGAATGGGAAATGCCAGCAGACCCTTTAGAAGAATTGCTTATTTCTTATGCCTTTTATCTGTGCTTTTGCTGACTGAAGGGAAGAAACCAGTGAAGCCAAAATGTCCTGCCTGGTGTACTTGTACCAAAGATAATGCTTTATGTGAAAATGCCAGATCTATTCCTCGCAGCGTTCCGCCTGATGTTATCTCACTGTAAGGGCTGTAAGCATTTGGTTATTTAATTTATGATTTAAAATGAACTAGGATGTGTGGTGTTTTCAGTGCATACCGAAGGATGCTTGCTGCAGGGAGTACCTCCAGCATTCAGAATCATCAGCTAATGTGTTAAAATTGTGCTGCATTCTTGAATCATGATTTTTACATCTCTTTCATCTGTCTGTCTGTCTGTGTCTGTGCACACATACCATTTTATACCTGCTTCTATACTGTAGGAAACCTGTAACATCCATTTTTTTATTTTTTATTTTCAGTACTTGCATAAAAACATTTCTCTGTGATGACCAGATCAGTATTATAACCATGCATATATGAGACTTCATTAATATAAGGTTGTGTTTTTCTTCTTTCCAGATCCTTTGTGAGATCTGCTTTTACTAAAATCCCAGAAGGGAGTTTTTTGCTCACACCATCTCTGCAGCTTCTGTGAGAAATATTTCTATCATATAATTTCTGTTATGAAATGTATATGTATCCATAAATAGTGTAAAGAGGGTCTCAGCATTATTTTTTTGAGAAATAGCAAAAGAAGGTTCATCAGATGACAAAATACAAGACTTTTTACTCATTTGAAAGATAGTGCATGTTTAATTTTTTCGAAGTGCATGTACTTAGTATTTTGCAGGGATATCTGTTGTCAGTGCTACTTTGAATTATTGCATTCTGAAGCTTTCAGAATGTGTGCTATCTTTATAATACTTTAATTAATATCACAGTAGGGATTTGAGCATTGCAACAATTTTTCTTGTTTCTTTTCTGCAGCCCCAGGGCTTGATCCCAATATAAAGGTGCTCATTTGCAACTTGCCTGCAAGCTCAGAACCTCTCAGATCAGGCCCTTCATTTTGGTGGGACAGGTCCTGAAGTCCTTTGCCATGTAAAATTGCCATTGACTTCTGTGGAAGTTTAGTCACTTCAGTGGGAGTTTTGCCTTGCTAGTTTCTGGATTTGACCCTATTTGTTATTTCACGTTCTTTGAAAGTGCATAACAGTAATGAAGATTTTCTTTAAAAAAAAAAAAATATTAAAAAGCTATTATTTCAAAATCAAATACTGTGATGAGGTATACATAGCAAGAAAGTATTTCTGGATATTCAAAATTGGATGCATTTCTATATAGGATTTTTACAGGTTCACAGACTTTCCTAGAAATGTGGGCATATGATTATATAATTGCTAGCTATGCGAAGGTAGAGGGGGTGTAACCTGAACTGTTTATAGTGGATGTGCCACCAGCCTGAAAAACATCCAGACTGGTCTCAGAAATCTGGCCAGAAGGACTCCCTGATGTGATCAACATCAAAATTAGACGTCTGTCCTGGACTGACTTGCCATGCACTCTGGATGTGGTCAGAAGGGCAGTGTTGGTATATCAGAGCCCTAAGGCTGTCACATTAAACTGCCGGTGCGCTGATAGCTGAAGCCCTGACCCTAGCTGTACTCTGCTACCTCAAGTGGAGCTGATAAGGAGGTGCAGACATACTGTACAATTTTGGATACAGGGTAAATAGGTAAATGCAGTTACTATGGAAACCTAAATGCTTTTCCATTGTGCTTTATTCCTGAGAATATTTTCCCTGGTGGTCACAGATCACAAATGGGACAAATTTCACACATTTCCTGCCATAGGGCTTTCAAAAGGAAGAGAAAAAAGAAATAGCAGTGGTGCAGCTTGTATCTGATGAGCGAGTAGGACATGATAATCATCTCTCCTGGCTACGATGTGCCACCTACACTTAGCAATCCCACTGCCAGGGGAAGCAGGGTTGGGTAGGGTGGAGCAGGACAGACACATTCTGGTTATTTTGAGTCATTATAGTGCCTGGCACAGAAGGCTCCTAGTCTCTGACAATGAGTTTTGGCATTTTGGTCATGGCAATGATCTGCATGGTCTGCCTTATGCTTCACTGAAACACGTCCTCAGCTGCTGTTAATAATGCTGCAACGAAAGCTGCACCCCCAGAAAAAACAGTTTTTGTTCCACTGTGGGCTTTGACAAGTGGTCTGTTAGAACGGTACAAACAATCCAGAGATTACTTACCTCTGCTACCTAGCGTTTCTAAAAATACTGCTGAATACTTTTCCAGACATATTTCTAACATGGTAGCTGAGCTGCTTGCCATCTTTGGAAAGTCAGGCTGCTGATCTAAGGCAAATGAGTCCTTAAATACAGCTTGTAGAAGCAGGACTCTAGCCATGGGGCCAACTCCAGTTTCTAAGTGGGAAATAAAATTTTCCACATTTGGCGGGAGATAGAGTAAGGCAAATAAGAATATGGAAATCTCTGGTTAATTAAAGTAAGTTCTAACTTTGCGTGATTATAGCTATATTGGTAGGTTTAATTTAGCCACAAGCAAGATTTAGCAGCCTATACATACTTTTACATAACACTCTCTAGCATTACATTTTTAAAGTCCAAATGTTACTCGGTATCTCCAGTATGCCAACCACACATTTCTGAGTGAGGAATATGTCTGCCTCTATTATTATTTACTACTGTTTTTACTGTAGTAGTGGCAATGGTCCCTGGAAAAATCATGGTCTTGTTCTGCTGAACACTACACCCAAGTCCCAGGACAGCAGAGCTTTTCTTCTTGAATGGTGCAGATGGTATGTTCTGTGCTCTTCATGTGACACTGAAAATGTTCAGGACCTACAGAGACAGAGTGAAGTGCCAGCAGGAGTGTTCCCTAAATGAGAACATCGCCCTGCTCTGATCTCCAGCACTTGTAGCTGCGTCTATCAGGCAACGTGCTGAGGGTGCCCTTATAACATGGAAGCATGCAGTGAGAAGGGAGGTAATTGTGGCAGTAGGATTCATACCAGTCAGCAGTGCAGTTCCTGCTCAGGCAATATGGTCCCTAGCTACAGCGCAGCATCTTCTGCCTCTGTCCTCACCCCACAAATAGCTAGTTAGTGGACCACAGATCGAGCAGATCAGGTTGTTCAGGTCAGAATGGGAGAAAAGATGCTTTGTGCATCAAATACGTGATACAGCCACTGGGGGAAGGTACGAGATGGGAGGTAAATGAGCTCACCAAGTGCAAGACCTGTGCTATAAACCTGGCGATCTCTAAAACAGCCATGCTACTTAAAGAGATACTACCCTATTCTTGTAAAATACAAGGAGGGTAGAGTGCAGAAAAATAAAAATTATCCAGAGAAATCACATCAGAAAATAAAGATAATTTGCAGACAGTGGGTTTACCAAATTGGTCAACTGGCTCAGAGATTTTATAACAATACTTATTTTCTCTAGGAGAAATATTATTGTATCTTTAAAAAGGGAAGAATTTCCTGATTATGTATATTTTTTGTAATTATATAGAGACAAATTCAAAGTGGAAAAAACACAGTCTGCAATAGTCAAACGAGAAAAATAAACCAACTGGAATTTATTCTTAATCTAAACTTCAAAGGAAGAGATTAACTCATTAAGTGTATTAATTCATACTTGGAAATCTTAAATTCCTGAATTCCTAAGGATGTCATAGTATAGGTCTATTTATCCATCATGTCCAAGTGAATAAAATATAGGTGTGCATCTGGTGTTCCACTGTGGAAAAGTAAAGTTTATCCTACTTGACAGTGCCTCACCATATTAAGGTGTGGCAGTCCTGAGATGAGTTAAAATGGATGAATGCAAACATGGCTGAATATCATAAATAAAGCTGGAAAAATCAATCCTAGTCCACTTCTAATGGCTACAGAATTACATAAAATTAAATGTGTTGCCAGTATTTTTACTGCTAGATGGATGAAAAATATGTGCACCTACTAAAAGCTGTCTACAGCAGGTATAATGCAGTCTTAAAAAGTATTTCTGTTTTGAACATTGACTGAATTAAAGTAACCTTAAGAAATTCAGAAAACTCTCAGTACCCTCAAGTCAAACATGCTCACAAGTTTAACTCCTAAGTTAAGGGTTTTTCCTACCTGTCAGGTGTGTAAATTCAACCTGATGTCTGGCTTAACAAGCTTTCCCCATGTTGTCATCAAAAGTAAGTGTTCTTCAACACTATTTAGACGTCTCTAGTACTTGAGCAATTAATTGTCATCCGAGTATGTCCTCAGTGGCTCTTGTACAATGCCATTGTTCTATTGGCAATGATAAACCCACTCTTACATCCTACAGAAGTCAATGGAATTTTATGAGATGGCGCCAGTATGCAAAGCAGTGAGTTGCTGGGGCCTTCCACTGCACCAGACAATGGCGCAACTGTGTCAGCAGCGTGTTTTAGTCTGATGATCCTGTAGTGCTTTGCATAGGCAAAACCACAAAAACTGTCAGTTGAAGCTTGGCATGGTATGGATTGCTGAACCATTTTCTAAAGGTGCTAGTAACCTAACAGTCTTTTGTTTTGCATTTCTTTACACAGGTTGTTTACCTCCAACACTTTTGATGTTATTAGTGATGATGCTTTTATGGGCCTTCCTCATCTAGAATATTTGTGAGTGAACAAAATAATATTTCCTGGCATTATTGATGAGAGTGGGTGGGCTTCCAAGTTCCAGGCACTGCTTTGACCAGAATGACTTTACGACCCATTACAGGTTCATAGAGAACAACAGCATTAAGTCAATTTCAAGAAATACTTTCAGAGGACTGAAATCTTTAATTCACCTGTAAGTAAAGTGGTTGGATATATTTATACTTAGTATATTTAACATAGTAACTGAAGCACTGTGTTGTTTAATTTAGCATTTTGATATATATCTATATTTATTTGTTTAAGCGATATTAATATTCATTTAATTAGAATGCTAATCGTTAGGTTTCACCAAAGACTTCCAAACTGTGGTTGTGTATTAAGCTGGGACCCAAACAGCCTCGAGGCCGTGCATATACGGCAGTAGCTCCCTGGCTTGCCCTGCTCAGGGCTCTGGGGATTTCCAGCTGAGCAAGGAGGTGCAGGGAGGGCAGGGTGGGTCAGACACCTGGGCACTGGAGAGATGAGATAGGAGAGCGAGGCCAAGTTTGGGACTTTGAGAGGAGAGCAGTGATCAGCACTGAGGTGCCATGGGGGTGAGATGCACAGGGGAATAGGCATGTCTCTTCTCATGCACCACAGTCTGGCCTGGATCCTTGGCAATATCACGGCCATCCAGTTCTTCCTCTGAGCTGTTCAGCCCTCATACTTCAGCAGAAACTGCTTCAAACCCTGTACTGCACCTCCTGAAGCCAGAGCAGCCCACGATGGGCTGTCACGTCCTGAGCACCAACACCAGGGCCTACCTTTCGGCAGTGCTGCCGTGCTCACACCCACAGAGGTATTGCTCACACTGTGCTCAGCAGGTGAAGCGCACGCTGACAACAAATACCTGTAACATTTAACTGCAAACACAAGGGTAGCAGCCTCATGATCTCATCCAGCAAGACAGCCTTCAAACAGGCTTTTGTCTCTTGTCTGGCAATGAGTTTATGATTTAGCAATAGTATTATTTCAGCAAATACAATACATACTGCAAGAAAACTAAAAATACAAAAATACTGTAAGAGAAGGAGGGTAAAATATCCAGGGTGTGCCTGACATGGATTTATACCCGGCTCTGAGCATTTGCATTCTGCAGCATATATCTTAGGGTGTCTGTCACAGGCAGTGGAGTAGATTCTGACCTCTTGGCCCTAACATAATAACCTCAAGGCGGGTTTTGAAAGAGGATCATTTAACTTTTTCTTTTATATATTTAGACACAGGAGAAATCAAAGGCTCAAATTTAAATAGTTAATGCATAAATATAATAGTTTAATTGCAATTCATCAAAGCCTTCACCACATAGTAAATGTACCATAAAACCTTTCCTTTTTGATCAGAGTAGACGAGACTCACAGCTGGCTCAAACTGAGCCTACTGTGACTGCTATTGTGTAAAGTTACTTATAGGATGGCTTTAGGTCTGAGGAAGGGAAAAGAAGGAAGACAAGGAAAAAGATATATAAACAGTCTGTGCACATCCTATAAAAATCCATGTTATTGGTACAGGTATAATTGTGTTAAAAAAGGCAAATATTAGGATAAGGCTGGTAACTGGGACTCTATCTTCAAAATATTTATGCACATGAATAGCTTTATATTCACAAATGGTTCCAGTACATTATTTATTATACTCATTTATTTATTTAGTAGCTGTTACTGCCAGTGAGCAAATTGCTTTTCTAACACAGAGGAAGGCAGTTTGAGGAAGGCAGTTTCTTCACCACAGAGCATGCAGTCCAAGAGCAACATCTTGTCTTGACTGTTATGTTGGTTTCCGGGGATGCTTCAACAGTTTCATAAAAGAAAACATATGCAAAAGATAGAGCCACATTTGAGGAGCCATTGTGGTTTGCATGTGGTCGTATGCACATTTTTGGGACATAGATTTGTGCAGCATGCTGCTATTGCACATGGAGAGCTATTCATCAAGACAATGAGAATTTTTCAGAGAATAATTGCAAAGGCAGGTCTATTAAAAACAGAATGTGAATAGTTTAATCTGTTTGCGGAACTACTCCCCACCCTTTGGGGGAAATTGTACTTACATATTAAGAATAATCATTTGGCATCCTGAGGCATTTCTCATTTAAGAAACAGAAGGGTACTTGAGATACATAAAATATAGTAAAAAGAATCACAGTAAACAACCATAGAAATGAGTTCCATTGAGATAGAGGAGAATATCAACTTTGCTCTATTTATTCTGTTCACTTCCTTTTCGCAATAAAGCTTTTGCAATACAGAAAGCTATCCAAACATTTGTATTTTTATTATGCAATTAACTTTGATAATTACAGTGTGTCCTTATTGTAAAATAGAGCGATCTAGTATTTGTTATGCAACACAATTCATTTTCTGCCTAGGGTAGACTGAGGAAAAGAAAAATTAACATGATTGCATTTTTCAACTAATTTACTAATTTAATGTCAAAACCTTACAGTTAGGACTGGGAAATAATTTCTATGCACAGTGTATCATTTCAATTGCATTTCTTGCAGAACTGCAAGTATCTGTCTATAAGCATAACTGCATGTTTGACTCAACCCTTACTGTCTTACCATAAAGCAAATGCCATGTACAGTACCATCTAGGCAAGTCAGTGTCTTCTAACATACAAGTATGCTTTTTAACAGTTGAATATAAAATGCAAACTTTTCATCCAAAAATTGGTGAATGCATAAACCTTGCACAAATTTTTCTTTTAGTCATATTCCCGTGGCAGTGGTGAGCCACTGGTATTTCCAACGGCATTGTCCCTTTAGCTTGATGTAATTGAGGTCATAAAGAATATATAGGACATTAAACCTGCCTTTTCTTCTAAGTCTGCTTAGTTTTGTCCATAAGAGTTACCTGACTTTGAAATAATTGCTGGAGTGTAAAATTGAGCATAAGCGAAGCACATGATCCATACACCACACAGTGTTGCAACCAGATATACTTTGAAAGCTGCAAAGCCAGAAGGGACTAATGGCATCCCCTATTTACTATACCTGATAAGGCAGAGAATGCTCTCTTTTAAATGAGGCAGTAAACCTAGTAGGTCTGGGCCTGTTTTTCAGTTTAAGTATATGCCTTAGTGGCTTTGCTTGGTGGGAGAAATTGTAGTCAGTAATTTTTGTGTTTAAAAGTAAAAACAGAAGAGGTTCTATGACTTACTAGCTACAGATTCTAACTGGGATGTTAAATTAGAATGCTTTCTTTCCGTTTTCTTTTCTTCTCATAAGAGATAAATAATTTTGTTAATCAAAAAAGACATCAGCTATACCCTATAACATTATTATTTTCCTGGCATGTCCTCAGGGACAACTAGGAGAACCCAGACCTTTGGTGGACTTACAGAGATGTTTGCAACAGAAGTGTAACATTCCTTGTTTAAAGGCTGCTCCCATTTCCTCCCGACCTTACTAGCTAGAATACTCAGTGCATTTAGGGTGTGTTTTCTCAACATTAAAAATTGGGAATTAACACAACTTTTTTTTTTTTTTTTTTTTCTGGTCTCACACACACACACACTCACACAAAGATATTCCAGGAAATAAATTCATACCAGTCAGCAATTTCTTGTCTATTATTGCATATTTCCAAAAACTATGAGCTAAGCCTAAGTCCAATACAATGACACCTGGTATTAAGATTTTGTTTCCAGAAGGGAGACAAGAAAGTGGGAGATTGCAGTAATATGAACACTATGTATTGGTATCTCCTAAGGAAAACATTAGTAGATCCAATCATAACTAATTGTTTTAAAATAATGGTGTTGGCAAAACACCAGAGGTGATTGCACTTTTTACCCTGCCTAAGTGAGGTATTGTGAATGCTGGAAGACTGCTGAAGAGTCAGAAAGCAGAAGGAGGCAGGGTGTTTTAGTGGAAGAAATAGTCACAAAGTAAATGAGCTGTTCTTCAGAGCAGTCTTGGAGAATTAAGTGCTGGAAAATGCTAGAGTTCTTTACCTTAAGAAAACAAAACAAAACAAAAACAAGAACAACACAGTATTACACCTTGCAAAAATGTGTAATTTCATGAGTTAGCACTGATACTGAAGTATCTTCTTTTACAGGAGTCTCGCAAATAATAATCTCCAATCGCTTCCAAAAGACATATTCAAAGGCTTGGATTCTTTAACAAATGTGTAAGAAAGCATTTAATTAATCTATTAATTATACTAAAAATATAAAGAGCTGTTTTTATAGGACGTTCTGAGTAACCATTCAAACCAATACGTACTGGTAATCCTAGTAATGGGATCTTATTACTGGGTAGAAACTACCCAGTATGGATAGGCTTGTTTTTTGGCTTCTGTTGTTGATCAGTTGTTTTAGTTTGGGATATTCAATAATTACAAAGATAAGTGATATTGTTAGTAGTTATGTAAGATATCTGCATGTTCAATAAGACTTAGTGAATAAGAAGGAAATGTCCTAAGGGATGCATGAGAGAGCATGATATGAGAGGAGGGTGTAAGATACTTATTGGATGTAATATTTCTATGTTTAAATAAGTTATGGGAAGGCAATTTGTTATCAAAAAAGCATAAGTGTCTCAGTAAGTACCATATCCCATACCAAATCTAACCACAACCAAAACAAAACATAAATTTATTTAAATATACAACTTAGTTACCAATAAAATTACAAAATATAGATAAACAGATAAAGCCTATAGTTGCTTCACTGAAACATGTTCTCTTTGCAACATACCAAATTCTGTTTCACCGGATTTGGGATGAGTGCAGAACACCCTCTCCCTGCTCCTGGTATGAACAAGGTAGGCTGAATTCATAGCATAGAGTGGCAGTAGCAGGTTGTGGAGGTGTTCAGTGTATCCTGTAGCATTACTTGGCACTGACTGGTCATGGCCAGCTGGTTACACAGTCTGGTCCTGGGGCTTGCCCATTCCTGTACATACTTTCAGAAATCTGACCAAAGACAGCTGTAAAAGACTTGAACAGAACTCCTTTGCTTGCGTCTCCTAAACCTCTAAATGAGTACATCTAAAGGACATAGCAAATACTCACTGGTTGAAATCAGGATAATTTAATTTCTGTTTTATCTAGAATGTTTGTATTGAGAAAGGGTAATCCAAAACAACCAAAACAAAGAACCTCCCCAGACATGGGGCAATCAGTTTGGTAGGCCTTTGTGTACATTCAAACTTCAGGAAATCAACAAAAACTTCCTACTGATTATCAATAAAATTAAATCTGTGTATGTTCTAGTATGTATATTTAACTATGGGACAGGACAAATTAATCCAGGAAGGCATCAACTGAGAATAAGCAAGATTGCACATGTTTAACAAAAGAACAGTTTGTTGTTGTCGTGTGAGGAGGAAAACAGCAACTGACTACTTATCTTCAATGCATGATTTATTTGTTGTAGAGATCTTAGAGGCAATGCATTTAATTGTGACTGCAAACTGAAGTGGTTAGTGGAGTGGCTGGGCAGCACCAATGCAACTGTGGAAGACATTTACTGTGAAAGCCCACCAGAATATAAGAAGCGCAAAATCAATAGCCTCTCACCGAAAGAATTTGATTGTATTATTACAGGTAATGTGTTTCAAATTATTAAAACATGTTAAAATAAAGTCAAAGCTATGTATTTTTTATTCTAGGGTCCATTATGCAAGAAGTCTACATGCCAGCTGGAACTTTCAGTAAAACCAATATGAATTTTGTGCAGGTACAAGTTTGGACACAGGAAGCACTTGGGAGTGGGATCTTATCTTGCAGCTTCTACTTGGACTTCAGGATGCTATACAAGGATTTGAAGAACTGGGACACAAAATAGCACCTCTTTTAGTTGAGAAATATTGGAAAACAGATTGCAGTGTTCCTTTTTTCAACAGGAAAATTGGACTAGTAATTAAATACTGTAATTTGTAATAAAGTATGTTAAGAAGATGTTCTTTCAGTATGGTATGGGAAGTATCTCTGTAATTATCATATGTTGTGTGCACTTTTGCAGAATTTGAAGTTTATCAGTCCCTGCCATACCAATCTCTGTCAGTAGATACTTTCTCATACATGAATGATGAACATGTGGTTATTGCTCAGCCCTTCACTGGAAAATGCATCTTTCTCGAATGGGACCATGTAGAAGTGATGTTCAGGAATTATGACAACATAACAGGTATAAACACTGCTCAAACAACATTACAACAGGTGATCCAATAAGTGGTGCTAACCTTGTCTTTTACTTTTCTTTTTATAGGTACTTCAACTGTTGTGTGTAAACCCATAGTTATTGAGAGTCAGCTATATGTCATTGTCGCACAGCTGTTTGGAGGCTCCCACATATATAAAAGAGATATTTTTGCTAATAAGTTTATAAAAATTCAAGATATTGAAATCCTTAAAATACGAAAACCCAATGACATTGAAACGTTCAGGATTGCTGAAGACTGGTATTTTGTCGTTGCAGACAGTTCAAAAGCTGGTTTCACCACTGTTTACAAATGGAATGGGAATGGATTTTATTCCCATCAGTCTCTGCATGCCTGGTACAGAGATACTGATGTGGAGTATCTTGAAATATCCGGCAAACCGCATTTAATTCTGTCAAGTAGTTCCCAAAGACCTGTAATATATCAATGGAACAAAGGAACAAATGAATTTGTTAAGCGTTTTGATATCCAAGACATGGAAGATGCATATGCAGTGAAACATTTCAAGGTGAAAGAGGATGTATACATTTGTTTAACAAGATTTATTGGGGACTCTAAAGTAATGAAATGGGGTGGTTCAGCATTTCTGGATTTACAAAGGATGCCATCCCGAGGGTCAATGGTATTCCAACCACTTCAGATAAGTAATTATCAATATGCCATTCTTGGAAGTGATTATTCTTTCACTCAAGTCTATTATTGGGATGCTGAGAAAGCAAAATTTGTGAAGTTTCAAGAATTAAACATACAGGCACCAAGATCTTTCATACATGTCTCCATCGATAAACGAGATTTTCTCTTTGCTTCAAGTTTTAAGGGAACTACATTGATTTATAAACATGTCATAGTTGACTTAAGCGCATGACACTCATAATTCTGAGATTACATCAGACTTTCTACCATACGTGGACAAAATGAACTAAATGCATGATGACGCTCTTATCTTACTTCCAAATGAATGCCTTTAAAAGTTGAGATTGCTAGAACAAAGTATTACTAGTATCTTCATCTTTAATTGTCAAGTCTAGTGGTGTTGGAAGTTGCATTTTTTAACAAAAAGAAATTAAATTAACTGTTCTTTGCATCCACAGTATGTAAATATGTCTGCAACTGCATCTGTTGCTATAAAGAATATTAAGATGTACTTTTCCATTTATTTATTCACCTGTTTGAAACAACTGCCAAATAAAATGTTTACATTTTGTGTCTTTCACATTCCAAATATTATTTGCAGGTTATAGTTTTATTTGTGTATATGTTATACACATATAAAATAAACCCAAGAAAGTATGTTGCCCAATGCTGAGTTGTACTGCATTGAAGATGCACAGTATGATCAGGTGGGTTTTACATATACAAGAAGTTCTTGATGAAAATGCAATATAGAATCACAGCCCTATAAATGGTAACCTGAACACATCTTTGCGTTTAGATGAAGATTCACTCATTCAAACTGGACTCCATCCAGAAAAAATTGTTCAATTATATAGACCCAGTTGTAGGATGGGGCTTTGTACTGTGTGTAGTTGAAAGTATCTAACTGTTGAAAAAAAAATGACAGAGAAATCATCAGCATGAAAGCTGATGTGAAGGTCTTTCTTCCTCCGCCTCATGTTGAAGCAGCACAGAATGAATCTCAGGTATGACACTTGGGCTGTCGTGCTGAAAGCTAGAAGCACAGATTATTTTGCAGCTAACATCATTTCTGTATCTGAGCTGTCACTTATCACTTGTGTGATTTCTGTGTATCACTGTCAAATCTTTCCACTCTAATTGCAATTATTTAACATTCAGTGAACTTCTCCATTATTCTGAGTAAGGGTAGTGAAAGTGAAATAGTTTTTTCCAATATCCTTCAATGAAATTTGGTAACAGATACTCCTGAAATAACAGGAATTTTGAATGTGGCAAAACAAATTCAGTTGGTGTAACATCTGAAGCTCCAAGGAAGTTACCTATGTCTGTTAAATTACACTCAGGAAGACTGTGCAAATTGATCTTGAAGTTATCAAGCCTTGTGCTTCACTGCTGTCTTTAAGATATACACATAAACACTATGTATGTTTATATACATTTCTAATATTTCTCACACTGATTGGTAAATAAGATTTACATGACGCATGTCAGCTAATGACACAAGCTGATTCTGCAAGCTTGCAGGCTCCCTTTACTCATAGAGATCCCAAAATGGCAGAGCAGTTTCAGGCTTGGTCGCTTTTCTTTTGCTTATGGTGCTGCTAAGAGCATCTGTTAGAACAGCAGACAAAAAATCATTAAGAAAAAATGCATATAACATATACTTAAAGAAGCCAACCCTGAGCAGAGTGCTTCTATAATAAAGAATAGCGATTTTTTTACATTAAATATTATAAAAAAAAAAAATATCCTGTGTGAACAATGCTACTCTGTTATTTTTTCTGATGCCTTTTTATCCACAGCTTACTATGCTTTCATCAGTATTTGTCTTAAAAATACTTACTGCATATATACTTATAGTGTGACTAGAAAGATTTTAAAGATGTTGCCCAGTTGAAAGCACCTCCATTTTATTACCAAGTTATATTTCCAAAAACCATCCTGATAAATCATCACTCACTTGACAAGCTTCCTTCACAAGTTCTTAGCTTTTATATGAGCATGATTTCCAACCCCAGATGAATCTAAATAACTTTGTATTATTTTGGAATGTTGGCTGCACAATGGTGATTGCCGGCTTATTTTGTTCATCTTACATTGTCTCTTCTTCAATCCACCTTGCATGGCAAAGGAATGATCTACAATCTAACAGTAAATCATGAAGTGTTTTCTACTTCATTTTGTTCTATGTTTTGGTCTTTTACTCAAGATCCTATTGAATTATGTGCACTGATTTTGATCTGATTTCTCCCATTATACTTGCCTACATGCACCCTCTATCAAATTATATAAATAATGGCTATGTATCTGTCTCATTATGGACATATTTTGGACATCTGGCTGAATTTAAGTGGAGTTAGATAACCTTGCTAATCTGCCACCAACATCTATTTACAAACTGTGTAGTATCTTTTGAACCCTATACTGCAATATATTGCTTCACAATTTTACCTTGAGAAGGTTATGTTTCATGGCACTATAGAGACAACAAGCTATATGCCCTATGCTACAGTAGTGCTATAATTTTTTTTCATGACTTAACCTTTTCTAAAATAACATGATGGATTTATGGGAATTCAGTTACTCCTGAACTTGAGGAGTTGAAAAGCATGAAAGAATATGAGCCACTAGAATTTTACATTCCTGATATGAATGAAACTAGCTACAGTACAGTATAGGATGATACAGGATTTATCTGCTGAAGTATTCAACGGAATTATTAGTTTGGTTGTTCCTTCACAAAATTTTACCTGTGGTCAAGCACTAATAATTCGGGACATTTTTGATGCTTATGTCATTTTTGGAAAGTCAACAAATCACTATAAAATGCTAAATCTAAATCTCTTTTCTTCTGAAAATCATGCTCTACAGGCAACTGATGTCAGGCATAGATTCAAAGGGACTACAGCTGCTTTGTTGTTGTGCATGTAGAGCATTTATTGTACCCCATAAGGAATTGGGGTATTTTTAGAACAGTGCTCATGATAGTTAATCCTTAATGTAGAAGAGCATAAAGGCTCATTAGGAGGCTCTCCATGGTGTCTCTTCCTAACTTCAGAGACTGATCATTTTAACAACTCTGAGTATAAGGCCATATCCCACCCTGGCTCTGTGTTCAGAATTCCTCCTGAGGTCATTGAAAGCCCCAGGCAAAAACCTAAAATAGGGTCTTTTACTATATATATGTTTACACTTTTTTAAAAAACATTGTTTAAAAAAAGAATCCCTTTCTTACAGCCCAGGGTATGTTACTGTGGCTGCCTGGTTGTCTTCTGTGGTTGTAATGGATTTTCTAACCTCCCTAATCATTTTGTTTATGACTGACAGAATATGTAAAGTACTAAAAGTACTACAGAAGACAATATTGAAGTTTATTAATGGATGCTGCTGATCCTTAATACAGCTAAGTCATGTTAATGTCTAAGACAGAAACAACCGTTAATGGAATTGTATTGTATTCCTACAACTACTATTATATTTTGAAAGGAGCACAAATATAAAAGACTATACAATTCTCTGCTCTGAAAGTGATATATAAAATACATTCAGAATATCTGATACTACACTATGTGTAGCTTTTTTTTTTTTCTTTGTCTGCTTTAATGTCTACAACTTGCAGGTCACTATTTCTACTTATATTCCATCTAAAAATATTCTAAAATTAGGGATAAATTGTAGATTTTGGTGAACTATGTTTGGAGCTGCATTTTAACTTTTAAGTATAACTTCTCCTAATTATCTTTTTGTTTGTTTGTTTGTTTGTTTTTTTATTTTATTTGAAGGGGTGATAACAGCCATACAAAGCCATACATACATACACTTGAGGATGGGAAACAACTACTAGGAAATTAATAATATGTGTGATGTGCTTTGATTTGTTCTAGTGAAAAGCTAAATGTCTAACAGCTGTATTTATGTATATAATCATTATAATATATTGTGTTAGTATTCAATGCAAAATAAAGAATATTTAAACCATGGAAGTAACAAACAGTCCTTAGACTGTTGATAAACATTCCTGATAATGGCACAATGAAAAATCAGAGAAGCTAGCATGCCCCAGATGTTAAAACTAGGTAGAGAACATAAAATCTGCAGCAAGTGTCAAAAGCCCTGTATTCTTCAGTTTCAAGGAAATACTTTCCTTACCACTGAGCACATAATGCTTTCTCTCTCAGTGGGGAGGGAACCACTGAGACCGTCACCTAGTTCTTGTGCAAAAGACTTAATGCAAGGCATACATGATCTCCATCTGTGGCACAATCTTTTCCTTTGGACACCTCTTTGTCACACTCACAGCAATCCCAACAGTGGTGACACAAATGGAGTGGTGAGCATGCTACAGCCCAACAAAAAGGCCAGGGTAGAAATTAAGCCAGGCTGAGCAGAATGAAAATCCAAACCCTTCCACCACATAGCATGCTTTCTCTCTGTTTTGTTAATACATATTGCAAACATTTGCAGCTACCTTCACACGACTACAAGCCTTTTCCTCCCACATCTGCCAGTCTGTAGACCTGAACGTGGACAATGCAGCTGTGATTTTGACTCCTATTGATCAGAACAGCTAAACAGGCTTTTGTGGTCAGGAGCTAACCTATAAATGGTGAGGTCTTGGGGAGTTCAGTTTCTGAAGGCTGAGCTGTGGTGCCTGACTTACTGCTAATGGGCAGGTTTTCATCATTACATTTTACTCTGATTTCTGATGGCGGGTGTTACAGGCATGGCACTGTTTATAGTTCACTTAAACAAAGTGTTCGGAGGCCAACCTATTCCACAGGAATTTGCCCAATACAAAGACCACTGTGTGCCATACAGAAGCAGTTTTGTATTTGTGCTCTGAGAGTTTGAATTTCTCCAATTAGTCATGCTGGTGTAATACTTCTGTCTTCGAATTTGTTACAGCAGAGAGTAATTTGCCTCAAATATGCATATTTCTATTAACATAATTGTTTATTTATTCACCAAATAAGTTGAAGTGGGTGATGGTTATAATTATGTTACTGTCCCAATCTCCCATTCATGAAATCAATTTTTGAATTCTCAAAAGTTGTTTTAAACTCAGCATTATTTGATGTCTCCTACTGAATTATTTCAATTGAAAAAGGACTTTCTGACCCAATCGCACTTCCTGTTTGAAATTCTGGATAGCGACAGCAGTCTGTTAGTGAGTTGTCAACCTGCCCAGATGGTGAATATCCAAGAACGCTGAAAGAGCTGAAGAATAAACAGGCTGATCTACTAAGAATACACAGTCCCTCATTAAAAGCCATTTATGTGCAAAAGAACTGGAAGTAACAAATATCGTGCCTATTTTTATAAAAAGTTCATGGGACGATCAGCAGAGTTTCAGACCAGAAAGATCCACATTTTTATTCAGTCAAATATCAGAAACAATAATTGAAAATTGAAGAATAATAATTCAGGAGAAAGCAGATAACAGAACAAGTGTGACAGACTGACTACTGAAGTTCAGGGTCCATAAATGAAAAATAATATACATAGAAAAGAAATGCTTGCAACCTTTAACAGTAAAGAAAATCAACTTGACATCATTGTGAACAACTCAACAAGAAACTGATCTCAATATATATACAACTATAGGAAAAAGCACATGATGCTAAAACACGTACAGAACAGTCAGGAGAATATAACACTGCATGTTACTGGCAAAGCAGTGCTGTTGCCTCATCTGAGGTCCTTCATGTAGTACTAATTCACTCCTCTTGAAAACGCACTGTGGAACTATTAGGGACTCAGAGAAGTGTGGTAGATATCATTGAAGGTATGGAACAGGATGATGCTTGATTTTGTCAAATCCCGTGCCATAAAGAAAATACTTTCCCCCCAAAAATAATTAAATGTGGTATTCACTGCAATTGGCCATTATTGAGAACAAAAACATGACATTCAGAAAGCAAAGTCAATAAGTTACATGGACAAGGTATATAAACATTTTAACTCTCATTTTAGTAGTTAAAATCATTTCTAATTATTAGGGAAGATGAGGTCCTTTACACTCTGTCAGAAGCATAGATATTTGGGACAAAATGATAGCCAAGAACTGGATTATGAATTTGTTTCAGTGTGGCATTTCCTATTTTCAGTCCTTGATACAACACATGGCCTAGAAATTAGTTCAACTTTGGTGAGAACTGCAAAACAATATATATAAGATGTACGCATGAATGTCAGGAGCATTTAAAATACTGAGAACACAAACACGGGGAAAATCTGGGAGATACCAGAAACATATGTTTAGAGAATGGCAACAATTAGAAAATTTTGGCAAACTGTTTGCAAGTGCTTAAAAATGTAATTGCACAACTTTGGCTGGGTTGAGCTATGTAAGTCCTGACAGACATGAGCTCCCTTGGGAAGAACAGAACTCTGTCTTCTTATAATTTTAGCAGAGTTGAACATTAGAACTATAGAAATATCATAAGCAAAGTATTTTATAGTTGAGCAGGTAATAGCTTTGTCCTGTGAGGGAATAATTTCTAGAATATGAGAAAAGATCACCAATTTTAGATAAGACAAAAGAACGAACAAATGAACACTAGGAACTTTCCAAACAATTGTGACATTTGAAAGCCCTATCCTGCTCCTTCTTCTCCTCCATATACAATAATACAATGATACTCCCCATTCAGCAAAAACACAGTAAATGTGTTGCTCTGGAGTGCAAAAGAAAGGAAGAAAATGAACGAAGTTGGAACAGAAACAGTTTGTGGTCAGGAAATCTGCTTAGTTTTGGAAACCTTAATTGGACCTGTGAATGCCTAAATTTCCTGATGTGTAGAAAACTACTGAAAAGAGAACATCCTTTTAATGCATTTAAAGACTACCTAGTTTATAAACTGCAAACACCACTAAAAAATCCACTGCTTTTAAATAATCCATATGCAATGGCATGAGTCCAGTCTTAAACCCTATCTTCAATTTGTCCTTAGCATTATTTAAGATAACAGTAACTCCTTCCAATGAAACTCCCTTCAGGGCTGGAACTAAGAAAAATATCTGGTACAGCAGCAGCTAGGGAAGCTCTGCCTTTCTATGCAGGGATCTGGAATACATCAAACCGTAGCAGCAGTACGATAATCATGTTGTATTAGCTTGAACCAAATAGGAAATGAATGTTTGTTCCAGAATTACAACTTATTTCAGAATTTCTGTAAAGTTATTTTGAGAGCAGTGACACTACCAAAAGATCTAGGAATAATAAAAAAGGAAGCTAATTTCAATTGCTTCTCAGAAAATCCTGCTGTTGGGGTGGTTGTGCATGTTGTCACAAAAGTATGCATAAATATACATGTAACTAAGTAAAATTGAAAAATAATCAGTTAATTCAATGGCACAAGCTGCATCTTGGCAAAACTATTACAAATCCACTGTGCTACAGTGGTATCACTGTTTACAGCCAGAGCTCCCTTCAGCCAGTAAGCTGAGTTTTGTTGAGAGCATGTTTGTGTCCTTCCTGTTCAAGAAGGGCAGCCCTTGGAGGAAGGGTACAAGCTCTGTGTGTGCTCAGTGGTGGCAGTTCCCTTGAAATTCAGCTGCATGCCAGAGGCACTCCTCCCAAAGACAAGGACAACCCAGCAGTGTCTTGAGGACACCAATTCTTGCATTTCAGAGCATTCCTGGTTTCGCTGAGATTTCAGAGGGAGTAATTGGCTTGTATGTATCATCAAACCCAAGCTCACTTCATGTCCACTTGCTGGGCAGCCAAGAACAGCTTGCAGTGTTCAGCAGACTGCAAAAGCTTGCTCAGCCCATTCCTGAGGGGCTGCCACACTGGCATGGTTAGCAGAATCCGAGCTCGCTGAGGTTACAAGGACATAAAAATAACTTCTGAGATAGAGCAGGGTTCAGTGTCCTGCCTACTTGGCCAGAGGCGATGCTTATAAAAAGAGCATGGGAAATCCACCACAATGATATCTCCAGATATCATTGCAGGGAAGAAAAAGAAACCATGTTTCCTGCCTTAAGGAACTACTCTTGTGGACAGCAAAATGCCTCAAGTTGGGTACATTCTGTGTGCATGGTAGCAACAGGGTTTATTTTTTCCATAATGGGGAGTTCTGTTCTGCATAGCTCCTGGAGGTAAGGAAGGAACACTGATTTCATTAAAGAAAAAAAAAAAAGACAAAAAAAAAAAAGACCCCATGAATATTTGTGACTTTGATGAATGGAAAGGATTTTAAAACCAGTTTTGCAAGTATTTTTATTTTGTTTTGTTTTGTTTTGTTTTGTTTGTTTGTTTGTTTGTTTTTCCATAAGAAAAATTGTTAAAGTTGCATTTCAGATCATTTCACTTTGAACATGCTAGTGCAAGTAAATTGAGAGGCACAGGCATTGCACTAGCATGTTAGGACAAGATGAGAGGCATACAGGCTGAATCATACTGGTGTTTTATATATAGCACATAAATATGTTTTATATAAATAACATAACTATATTATTCATATACTTACATGTACATGGTAGGGGCCCAGTATGCTAATATTGATTCATCACCTGTGACAAGCGAACAGTACATTGTGTGTGATTTTTGTTCTGGGGA